TTTTGAAAAAATAAACAAAATTGATAAACTATTGGGCTAACTGATCAAAAAAAAAAAAAAAAAAACAAACAAGGAGAAGACCCAAATCAATAAAATCAGAGATGAAAAAGGAGAGGTAACAACAGATAACCACATGGGTACCACAGAAAGAAAAAGAATCATCAGGAATTACTACAAAGAGCTATATGCCAACAAATTGGGAAGCCTAGAAATACGGATAGATTCCTGGACACATACAATCTACCAAAATTGAGACATGAAGACACAGAAAACCTAAACAGACCAATAACCAAGACAGAAATTAAATCAGTAATAAAGACCCTCTCAACAAAGAAAAGCCCAGGACCAGATGTCTTCATGGCTGAATTCTACCAGACATTTAAAGAATTAACTCCAATTCTTCTCAAGCTATTCAAAACAATTTAAATGGAAGTCTTCCAAACTCCTTCTATGAGGCAAGCATCAACTTAATTCCTAAACCATAAAAAGGTGCATCAGATAAAGAGAACTATAGACCAATATCCCTGAACAACATAGATGCAAAAATCTTCAACAAAATATTAGCTAATTGAATCCAACAAAAAGCTTCAGAGAGATTTTTCACCTAGACCAAATGGAATTTATCTCTGGTATGCAGCAATGGTTCAACATTTGCAAATCAATAAATGTGATATCACATTAATAAACTGAAGAACAAAAACCATAGGGTTATGTCAATAGATGCAGAGAAAGCATTTGATGAAATATAATACCCTTTCATGGTGGAAACCATATGCAAACTGTGTATAGAATAAATGTGCCTCAACACAATAAAGACAATTTATGACAAACCCATGGCCAGCATTCCTATTGAGTGTGGAAAAGCTGGAAGCATCTCCCCTAAGATCCAAAACAAGGCAAGGATGCCCACTCTCATCATTCCTATTTTTTCTTTTTTTTTTTTGTTATATAGTTATTTTTTTTATTTAATAAATGTGAATTTACAAAGTGTAACTTTTGTATTGTTGTGGCTTCCCCTCCCAGCCTCCCTCCCTCCCGTGGCCCTCCCCTCTCCCACTCCCTCTCCCATCCTGCCCTTCATCGAGTTTCATTTTCAATTACCTTCATATACTGAAGATCAACTTAGTATATACTAAGCAAGGATTTCAACAGGCTGTACTCACACAACCGCACAAGGTATAGGGTATTGTTCGACTAGTAGTGTTGTTTTTAAGTTTCATAGTAAAACATATTAAGGACAGAGATCCTACGTGGGGAGCATGTACCCAGTGACTCCTGTTGTTGATTTAACAATTGGCACTCTTATTTATGACGTCAGCAATCACCCGAGACTCTTGCTATGAGCTGTCTAGGCTATGGAAGCCCCTTGAGTTCACTGACTCTGAACTTGTTTAGTCAAGGCCATATCACAGTGGAGGTTCCTTCCTCCCTTCAGAGAAAGGCGCCTCTCTCCTTGCTCATCATTCCTATTTAATATAGTCCTGGAAGCTTTAACCAAAGCCATTAGGGAAGAAAAGGAAATCAAAAGGATACAAATTGGAAAGGAGGAAATCAAACTATCCTTATTTGCAGGTGACATGATTCTATTTATAGGTAATCCAAAATACTCCACTGAGAGACTATTGGAACTCATAAAACAGTTTGGTAAAGTAGCAGGATATAAAATCAACACAGAAAAATCAATAGCCTTTGTATACACAGACAATGCCATGGCTGAGAAAGAACTTTTAAGATCAGTCCCATGGAGACGGGGAGGAGGTACCCGGCTCTTGGCTTCGGATTGGTGCAGCGCCGGCCATAGCGGCCACTGGGGGAGTGAACCATTGGAAGGAAGACCTTTCTCTCTCTCTCTCACTGTCTGTAACTCTACCTGTCAAAAAAAAAAAAAAAAATCAGTCCCATGCACAATAGCTACAAAAATTCAATTAAATACCTCAGAATAAATTTAACCACAGATGTGAAAGACGTATACAATGAAAATTACAAAACTCTGAAGAAATAAATAGTAGAATACATTAAAAAACAAAAAAATCTTCCTTGTTAATGGATTGGAAGAATGAACATCATCAAAATGTCCATACTACCAAAAGCAATTTACAGATTCAATGCAATCCCAACCAAAATACCAATGCCATTCTTCTCATATCTAGGAAAAAATGATGCTAAAATTCATATGTAAATATAAGAGACTCCAAAGAGTTGAAGCACTCTTATATAACAAAAACAAAGCCAGAGGCATCATAATTCCTGATTTCAGGGCAAACAACAGGGCAGTTATAATCAAAAGAGCCTGATACAGGCACAAAAACAGATGTATAGACCAATGGAACAGAATAGAAACTCCAGAAATCAGTCCACAGATCTACAACCAACTTATCTTTGACAAAGGAGCTAAAATCAACCCCTGAAACAAGGACAGTCTTTTCAACAAATGTTGCTGGGGAACTGGATCTCTGTGTGCAGAAGTATGAAACTAGACCCCTAACTTATACCTTACAGAAAAATCCATTCAAAACTGATCAAAGACCTAAATCTATGGCTCAATACCATCAAATTACTAGAGAACATTAGGGAGACTCTGCAAGATATTGGTATAGACGGAGTTCTTGGAAAAGACCCTAGAAGCACAGGCATTCAAAGTCAAAATTGACAACTAAGTTTACAGCAAGTTTCTGCACTGCAAAAGAAACACTCAGCAGAGTGAAGAAGCAACCAACTCAATGGGTGAAAATATTTGCAAACTATGCAACAGATAAATGGTTAACATCC